GTAGTAGCTAAGCTTCACGGTTGCAATAGCGGTTCAAGGACCTTGTTTGGTGAGTTTGGTGGTAATTAGACACTCCAAATATAGTAACAATATAAAGACTTTTGTAAGATAGGTTTTGGACTTCGCAGCTGCAATAGCAGTACAAGAACCCTTTTGCTAAGCCTAGCGGCATTTTTATCACTTCATGAATAACTACAATCGATTTTCTTTGATGCTACATGGATCTCTTTTTGAAAACCTGTCACTATAAGCTTAGACATTATAGTTTAGTTAGAGATTATGAGTTGGTTTTTTATAGGTGTAGTAGTTTTAATACGTAAAGAGTAGGTTTATAGCCAGCTAGTTAAAATATTGTTTTCTTTAGAGATGTAATATTTTAATTATAGAAGGTAGTTAGAGCTGTAATGATAATAAACAGATTTTCTTTATGCTCTTTACTATGTTTTAATAAAGTTATTTGTAATCAGATTAGGAAATAATTATACATTCTTAATATCTAGATTGAATTTAAATTGAGATCGAGATTTGAGACACCAATACTGTTATAGTGTTATACCATTATGAATTGTGGTATCATCATCAAAATATCTTGGTATACAACATTTTCAACTTTCAGTAACTTTTATTAAAAAAAAAAACAATTTTTATTAAAAAAAAAAACCAATTATAATTGGCAAAAAAATACTGTATTACAAAAATTTGTCGACTTGAAAAATTCTAACGGAATTTATCAAATCAAAATGGTTAATTAATTATTACTTTGAAAATTGTTTTCCCGCATTTAAGCAAATCTTGAGTAGTTAAATTTCATTCCTAGTTTCGCACACAGATTTTTAACTATATAACATCACATAATATGAAAGTAGTAAAATCAAGTAATAAAGTGATCATTAAATTCTCTCGCTCTAATCTTTGACGATCATTGATTATCATTTCATCAGCTCAGTAACAAATCCGGTGGAAAAAAGTAGAAAATCTTAAATAGCTAGAAACTAAATGCATAAATTCATATCGGGCCACCATTTTTGTGTTCAAAAATTGTGTTTTTACTATCATTTACTATCACATTTGTAATTGCATCTATGGTTTGATATAGTACATTTTTTTTTGGTTTTATTTTCTCTTCGCATTCTAACAAAATAAATGGAAACTAATTATTAAACAATCCGTGATCAACAAATTTACCTGAAATAATATTAGTTTTAAAGCCATTAAGATAGAATATTTATTAGCATGTATAAAAAAAAGACTTGTAATATAATACATATCACCACCCGTTTTTTTATATATCACTTGATTCTATTGTTATAAGAGACATTTGATTATACAATACTTTAATTTTTTTTAGCAAAAGTTTTTTCTATGTATATATTTTATTTTATACATTAATAATTTCCTCATTTAAACAACATTGAAAATACGAAGAAGTATGCCTTATCCAATCTGTACAATCTTCTTCGGTAACTGTATTAACTGCTTCATCAAATCTATTTAAAATAGATTTTTGATCTCTTAAATGTTTTCTAGAAACATTATTTTTAATTTTCGAAAAACAATTCTCAATGGGATTTAAAAAAGGGGAATAAGAAGGTAAATATAAAATCTTATGTGTAGTATTTTCAACAGCTTTTTTAACTATATTGGATTTATAAAATTTAATGTTATCCATTGCTAAAAACTTGTTATTTGAAATAATACTAATAAGTTCACGAAAAAAAAAGAAAAACTTTCTGAATTCACTGAACCTAAAATAGATTTATAGTGTAAAATTCCATTTTCATTTATTGCAGCAATAATAGAGATTTTTTTACCCCTATTACTTGCAACCTTACGAATTGCAGGTTGTCCACGATATGCTCTGCCTCGTGTTGCTGAAAGATGCAGGTTAAAACCTGTTTCATCTATGTAGACTATATCCTTATAAATATTAATATTTTCGTCATAGATTTTTTTCACATATTGTTTCCTTTCATGAATTGTCTTGTCAGTGTTACGACCTTCTGGTATTACAGTAAGTCTTTTGAGGGTAAACCCGATTTCTTTAACATATCTAGATACTGTACGATCACTTAACTATAATAATATATTCATATATAAATAAATATAAAAATAACTTTTTTTTAAGTTATATTATATAAATAAATATATATTTACCTTTATATCTTGAAATTGATTTAACAATTTTTGAGTTAGATCACAAATGGTTATCCACGGCTCTGCTTCAATTGCTTCTTTTAAAAATTCTTTATGCTGTTCATTTAAGATCGATCTTTTATCACCACCTCGTGGCTTAAGGGCAATTCGATCTTCTTGATCAAAACGTTTAACAATTGTATCAACTGTTGAAGGAGCTAATCGATATTTAGCTGCAACTTTTCGAATTGGTATACCATTGTCATTAACATCATTTATAAGTTTTCTTCTTTTTTCTAAAGAAATATTTTGATATGTAGATTCTTTTTTTTTTTTTTTGTCGAGGCATTATTAGAACAAGTATGTAAGTTTTTTTCATAATTATATTAAATAATTTATTTATATTTTATTATAATAACCTTAATTACTACTAATATCGTAATTTTCATAATTTTTACAATGTCATAAGTACTGTGTATACATATGTACGTAATAGGTTGTGATTGTACAAGTAATTGTATCTTACATGTCAGTGTTAATTGTTTTTAATTAACATCGCAAATTCGAATATAAGGTGTGTATAAATTACTCTTTTAAAGTGAAACTTTTTTTATTAATTTATCGTTTTACTGTATTTATCTATGTAATAAATTATTTAAAATTATATAATTTACTGGTTACCATTGTCACGGGGTTAATTAGAGGTTGGTGTTCCCTCTAAATGTCTAGATCGGGCACGCAGAGCTTCGCTTTGGAGCTTAAAGGAGGGGAATACTTTGATCGTGGCACTTAATACTACTTAATTTACTGCGGACTGTATATACTTGAACTTTATTTTCAAGAGGCAAACGATATTGTTTATTTATTTACTTATTTACGGTACTAAAGGCAAAAAAGCGATGTAATAATCGAATTTCTCTTTTATTATTTATATCGATCCTCTTTCCCATTGTATCATACGATACTTATGCAATCAATTAAATAAAATCCTATATTATACCTAACTATGACTATATTGTTCATGCAAATTGTCACGCAATATCTAATTACTAATATCAATTAATTACGTCGTTGACGTACCCTCGATCTCACTGTTCGACCGCCTAATTACTCGATCCGTGATCACCTGTTTCTAGATCACGGGCATTGTGGTACAATACATGACACCATCCTAACAAATTAATGAGTCCAGTAAGCAATAAACTTGAATTCTCGATAATAGGGTTTCTCTTCGCAGTAATTTTAAATTGCTTTCGGTAATGATATTAAAAGGCTTTTATCGTATTGTACTATACTGTCATTTTATTTATATGTTATATAATGAAAAGGTGTACTGGATACACATTATAATACGCCTATATTTATTTACAGTACAGTACATTCAATAACAAAATACAATATGAAACTTCTACACCCCGATTTATATACAGTACAGCATGGCTTAGTCAATGAGCATTTTTTGCGAATAACGAACAATCTATATTAATATTTGACACTGTGAAGATTTATTTGTCTG